TGTTGGGAGGTTGACAAAGAATACTGGACCTTCAAGGGTAAGGGTCTGCAGCAAGTCAAAGAGCAAGATTCTTTCCTTTAGACGGCAATAAAATTTTCAACAGCCTCCACCCTTCCCCAATTGCCTTTTGTGACCGCTGATTGTGAAACACTGTCTTCGTTAGACGTTCTAGTTTGACCCTCCTGTCTAACGCATGCCATAATGCAGAATCTCCACAACCTGTAGATCAAGTGCCCCCTCTTAATAAACCAACAACTAGTTGCTCGAGTGGCCCTGGGGTCAGCCACACCAGCTGCTGCAAAAGTCACAGAGGTCGGAGGAAGTCATGGAATCCATGACTTCCGTGACCTCCTTGACAAACACAGAGCCTTAATCATAACTGATGCAGAATCCATTAAGTTGTAGTATGGCAATTAAATTGCGAGACCCAAACTCATGGTGTAGCTGTGCAGTAAGGCTTCTATGCAGTGGTGTGATCATTTCAGAATGGTTAGATATTACCCACTCTGCAGTTGAGAGGCATCTTCTTTGAATGTCTTCTAAGGATGATACTCATTGCTGGCTGAATCATATGCCCCTTTATCTATCAACCAAAGAACAAACGTCTGCAGCAGTTGGGGCACAAAAGTACCTGACCTCTGTAAACTACAATCACCTGGCTTTGGATAATATTCTGAGGCTTTTATTTTGGCTATTTCAGACCAAAGAATTGAAGTGGTATACAAAACACTTGTTAGTTTGAAAGCTGCTCAGCAGGCTCACTCACCAGAAGAACATCCACAAAATATTTGGATGACTGCTTCAGATTATTATCAACTTGGATAGCATTAGCTAATGTTACGTTGCATAGACAATGATAGACTTGCCCTGTCCATGCTTTGCATGGAATAAAATTGCAGAACCACAATGTTTTTCAAATCTTGCCTGTAATTTGCTACTAGAATAGCTTGCAGTTTCTAGATCTGATGGAAGTAGGGCTTTATATCTTTGTAGCAGGTTGGACAGAAGAACTTTCTTGTACATAAGATCATTGTCTAGCTCTCATCTGATAAAATGCAATGCCAAAAGGAGACTGTATTGTTGCACTGTAACTAGATGGTTTTGCTTTCCTACTCAAGTAGGAAGAAATGCAGTGCTGAGTGATAGACTGCATCCTTAGCAATCAAGTCTTCCAAGGATATTCTGTGCAACATGTCATCATCTCCTCTTTGAAGTGGTGCCTCCCTAAGACTGGTTGCTCTCTCAAAAGTTTCTCTTTTATGAAGTTTCTTGTCTTGTGTGTTTTTCTCAGGCAAACAATGCAACAGGACCAATTCTTTTCCAGCACTGGTGGCTTTGGACAGTTTTGCGTTCTTTTGATTTTATTGACAAATAAGTTTGTGGGGAGTCTTTTTCTCTTTGATGTAAGCTATTAGCGGCTTGTATCCTCCATACTGACCTGTGCATAAGTGTCACTGAATTAAAAAGCTACTTTCTAGAATATTTCCAAGGCTATTACTGCATGCATAGGCAATTACAAATTTAAATCTTCTACTGGGCAGACTCCAGGGTACACTGTACAACAAAAGCTTAAAAATCGGAAAGTATTAACAGCAGGAATTCATGTACATTTCTGTCTACCCACTATCAGGTACAAACTATGAGCTTACTACTGCTACTGGTGCACAATCTTCAGGGTGAGACTGATCTGGTCAGCAAATTTCAATTAAAAATATAAAAAACTATTCTAATCACTTGTGAGATATTTTGACAAGTAAGTGTATGCAATGTGAGGACGTTTCATGTTAGTATAGTACATTGCAAAATGTTGCTATTTGCCATTTTTGCCACATGATAAACAGCTTAAACTTTTTCTGGAAAATAAACAAACTTGCTTATGCAAAACCAATCAAAATAGTTCAGTACATTGTCATTTGGTAGCTTTGACCAATAATCACCACAGTGAGGTGTTGTCATGTTGCAGTTTTTCTGAAGTTGTGCCAAAACATGACGCTCTCTCATTTTGGATGCCATTGTTACACCTCGCCTGCAGGTTTACCAAACCACCTGGCAGCTCCACATCATACTCCAGCTAAACATACATAAAATAAGCTTTGAAGTGATATGCAATGTGGGTGTGTGCAGGATGCCTACAGTAAACTCCCGAAATATGGCACTTTTTGGAGGATTTCTGCATGCCTCAAGCTGTCACCGCAAAGTATAGCTCAAAATCCCTGATCCGGAAGCTGGGGAAAGGTTCCCATTCGATTCAGTGCACCTCAGCAGTACTGCTCTGACAGGAAGTTGTCACTGGAGCTGCACCTTGAGGTAAGCTGGGCGAGTCACCTGCTCCTCCCAGGAAGTGTGTTGTGCTCTTCCTTGCCGGAAGCTGCAACCCATGAGCGCTAGTAAAGCAGGAATACAAAGGAGGAGAGAGAGGAGGCAGCTCCTAGTTCAGGCTATGATCCCAGTTATGTTTCCCTGCAGTTAGGACAAAAAGGGACTTTCCTAACCCTCCCCACAGGGAGTTTAACGTGAACGGGAAACACATCTAAGGCCAGATCTTGGGGGATTTAGAAAATGCTACAACAGCTGAAAGTGGGTCTAGCAAGGCTCAGTGCAGCATAGGCTCTGTTCTCTATCAGACACTACACCGGCTCTGGCAGAGGGGCTGGCTGAGGTCTTAATCAATCTCTTCCATCTCTACCTCCTGTGATCCTCTGACATCTGGGAGCAAGCAGAGTGCTGAGTAGGGGACTCAACATGCAGTGAGGTCTCTGCTGGCAATCAGCAGTGCAGGGCATGCTGCACAGGATTCGGAGCACACAAATGCTCTGAACTGCAGATTGGAGAGTGGTTATGGATTGACTGAAAAGGGGATACAGAGAATGCTCCTTTCCCCACTTGCAAGACCGGAGTGTAGTTTCCACAGCAATATTTGCCAAGAAGATTTGTGCCATCCCAGGGAAGGGAGTATACCCTAAGGGTTAGAGCATTAGATTAGTTTAAGGGAGTGGGACTTCAAGAGACAATTGGCCCCACTGATTATCCTCTACCATGACTCCCTGAAGCCAGCCAGCCCTACACCACCTTCCCTGTCCAGGCAGGCACCAACAGAGGGGATCAGGGCTGTTCAGGAGCATCTGGGCTTCTGCAGGCTCAGGCCTGCTCACTGATACCTGCTGAATTTCTCTGCTTCTGTCGCCATAGTAACTGCAGCCCAGGGCCCTGTTGCTTGGCTTCTCCTCGCAGCTCCGACTCCTCGAACAAGATAGCTGCTTCTTTCACCTCAGCCCCCTCGCTAACCTCCCACCTTGTTCCTCAGTTTGTTGTCCCACCTGACACCATGAGCCACGCTCCTGGCCCAGCCTTTGGACTCCCCATGCGGCCACCTTTTCCCTCCTCTCCTCCTCCAGTCTAGCCAGCCTCTCCCAGAGGTCAGCCTGCACCCAGGATGCCTGGCGGGGAATAGCAGAGAGCAGCAGATGGTGGCATTGCTCCTTACGCCCGCCTTCCAGGTGAGCTGGGGAGTAGTTCACTCTGCTGTTTCTTGAATGCAGACAAGGGGCCAGATCCTCAAGACTGGTGCCCTTGGAGCAGCCGTGTAAGCTGCCTTTACACCTCCCTGAGCCTCAGCCTGTTGGGTGCTGCTCTAGTCCTGGAGTGTAGCTTACAGCATCCTCCCAAGTCATTCCAAGGGCTTGTCTACACTCACAGTGCCGCAGTTGCATAGCTGCACCGGTGCTGCAGCGCTTAGTGAGGATGCTGTCTACGCCGATGGGAGAGCTTCCCCAAGACATGGCAGCTATATCTATGGGGGAAGCCCTCCTGTCACACAGCACTGTCTACACCGGCAGTTAGGTCAGTATAACTGCATCACTCGGGCATAGGCGCCAACTCCTTATGTGCTCCGGAAAAAAAAAAGGGTGCTCAGCAGCCCCATGGATCAGGTCCTTCCCTACCCCCCATCCCTCCCACCCACCGGTGGCCCTGCCAGTCAGCTCCTCCCTCTCTCTCCCAGCGCCTCTTGCCCACCACCATCAGCTGTTCAGCAGCATGCAGGAGATGCAGGGGCAGGGGGGAGGAGCGAGGGCAGGAAGGGGTGGAGTGGGGGGTCGAGAACTCCCCAGGAACACAGAAAGTCAGTGCCTCTGCTTAGGGATGCAGATTTTCCACACCCCTAAGCAACATAGTTATACCAACATAAGTTCCTCCAAGACTCAGTTGCACTGGCTGGCAACAGCACATGAGGATTAGCTGGATATAGCTACAGTCCCTACTCCCAGTGTGGGGCCTTGGGAGGCAGTGACATACAAGCCACTATGCTGGTCTTATCCCACCTTAGGATTCCCTCTCTTTGGGCGAATACTCATGTACCCAATTAATCCAAAACTGCCACAGGCCGGACTAGGATCTGGGTCCAAAGAATCTCTCTGATGTCAGGGGAGTGGGACAGGTGTATGCTGCAAGGCTTTAAGTGTCCCAGCTGCTGCTATGTTGGGATGCTGCACCAGGAAGAGAGCAAACTCCCATTCTGCATTGCCCTGCCTCTCCACTAAGGGCCTGTCCTAGCATGAGTTTGGGGAGAATAAGAGGATCGCTGATACCTAAACTGTATATTTGTTTGTGTTCAAACAGTGAACCTGCAATATAAATACCTCCCTGGATCCAAGGGTGCCATTGTGACCAGATCAGTGAAGGGAAGTTGATGTAGGAGACAAACAGATGAGGGGCTTCTGAAGAGCTGGGAGGAGAAGGAGCCTTTGATTGCTCTGAATGGACCCAGGAACTGGCTCCTTCTACCTCTCTAGTCTCCCCTGGGGGTTTCAAATCATGCAACTATCATTACATTAAACATTTAACTAACTGCTATACTTTCTTATTGCTTTTTGTTAGCAGGATTTCCTATTCCAAAGATAGACTTTGAATCTCAGATGGAACAGGGGGAAGAGCTGGGTGTCCCAAATATCCAACCCTCATGCACAGGTGAGAAATAAGTTAAACATTTACATCTCTCCTAGATTCCTCAACGGTAAGGCTAGCAGGGGCCATTATGATCCTGTATAAAGCAGGCAATAGAATTTAACCCAGTTTTTGCATCTAGCCCAGTGACTTGTGATCGAACTACAGCATCTTCTAGAAAGACTTCGAATCTCAATTTAAAGAATCTAAGGAATAGACAATCCACCACATCTCTTGGTAATCTGTTCTACACGTAATAAAAAAAGACAATCTGTGCCCCAGACATCTTACATTCTTTTTGGATCCCAGCCCTGCCACTTTGCAAGTCAGCTTTGCAAAATTCTGTTCAGCTAAGATGAGTCATATTTTTTAATATTTTGATGGTCAAGTCAAATTCATCCTCATGATAAAAGAAGGGCAAGATTTTGTGCATGGCCTAATAAAATTTTCATGACAGTTTTGCAAGGCTGATTGGCACAATATTTTTGATTTCTAGTTAGATGGTTAAATGTTAGATGGTTAAATATAACCTTAACATACAGTACATGCAGCGTGCATGAGTTAGAGAGAGCTATGAGAACCTCAGCATTTATATTTCCTGACTTCTGCGTTTAAATTCTAACCTTAATGTTGCACTAACAGTAGTCTTTAATAATGCATTGCATTTAGCATTTGTATTTAGTAACCATTTAAGGATTTTTCAGAAGTGCTCAGCATTGTAGTCACTGGTAAAATATCCACTGGATTCAATGGGAGCAGAGTTAGGAAGCTATAAATGCTTCTGAAAATCCCACCCTAAATTGTTTTTTACCCAATGTCAGCTCCTTTAAAATGTTCAGTAAAAGAAAGCTGAAATTAAAAAGGCTTCAAATCCTCGGATACATGGGCACAATTCCCAGTAAAGTATCTGAGGATAGAACTGATCCAGGTGTCTGAATGTGGGGACAGGGAGCTCAGACAAACTGTCCACTCCTCTTGTGCACAGTGCTATGCCTGGCACATGGTCCTTTCCCTCCTGTGTGCTCCTCCCTCCTCTTGTACAATCACTAGACCTCAACTTCTCCTCTAGTACATCCCAGAATTTCTCTCCTTTTTATTTTCTCTTTTGTCTCCTCTCACTTTCCCACATTTTCTATTTTTTCTTATCCCCTCCTTTCTTTGGTCCTTTTTCTTGACCCTACCCTATCCTGTCTGTCTCTTTCTGTTCTGTGTGCAGTTAGATTTTTTTCTCTCTCACCTCCCCATGTGGTGTCCCCTTTTTTCTTTTGTTCATTTGCTGCTTTCTTACTCCCCCCGTCTCTCTTCTCTTGCTCACAAGTTGCCTCCCTTTCACCTTCTCACATTTTCCTTCTTCACCCCAACCTCTTTAGTCAGCTCCCATTTGATCTACCATCAAACCCTAGTGCTGTGCTGTGAAAGGATGAAGTGAAATTAACATATCCAATGAGTTGGTGCTACTGCTCTATGAGTGATCCTGTTAATTTCTTATTGCTGCTCCCTTGCAGCTGGGAGTGAATTAGCAAAGGCAGAGCAGATCTTTGGAAAATGCACCTACCAAGTCCTTGTTTCTGCCTCTGGGAAAGAGTTTTGTGGGATTTATATCCTGATTTTCAAGCTTATCAACACTATTTTTACAAACAAAAAAACCCAACAACCGTGAGCCCTTTGCAATTTCCCTTCCCAAAGTTTTCATTCTGTCAAATAAAAGACATGAATCATGTCTGAATTTTCCTTCTTTCCAGCAGATGATGGGATGGTGAGTGGAAATCAGGTGCAAAATCCTCAGCAGAAAGGCTCTGAGAGATCACTTGGGCTGTTATCGGGAAGCTCTAACAGGAATGTTTCCCTGAGTCCTGACCAGGGAAGAAACTGTCTGGTCAGCACAGGTCAGAAAGAGAGCAGAGAAACTCTGGAGAGAAGAGACAAGACACAATACCTCCAAAACACTGCAGGAGACCCAAAGGCTTCGCTGTCCAGGGCAGAACCCAGATGAGAGAGAAATCAAACGTGTGTACTGAATGTGGAAAAAGCTTCACTTGAGGCTCAGCGCTTACCCAGCATCAGAGAACCCACATGGAGGAGAGACCTTACAAATGTGCTGAGTGTGGGAAGAGCTTCCTCCGGAGTCCCGACCTCGTTCTGCATCGGAGAACCTACACAGGAGAGAGACCCTACAGATGCATGGAGTGTGGGAAGAGCTTCAGTGTCCACTCCAACCTTATTAACTACCAGAGAATCCATGTGGGGGAGAGACCCTATAGCTGTACAGAGTGTGGGAAGAGCTTTGGCCGGAGTGCAGACCTTATTAAACATCAGAGGAGCCACGCTGGGGAGAGGCCCTATAAATGCACTCAGTGCAGGAAGAGCTTCAACCAGGGCTCAGACCTGGTGAACATCAGCAGATCCACACAGAAGAGAAGCCCTATCAGTGTGCTGAGTGTAGGAAATGTTTCCGGCAGAGCTCGGACCTGGTCAAACACCGGAGGACTCACACGGGAGAGAAGCCCTATAAATGTACCCAGTGCGGGAAAGGGTTCGTCATCATCTTCATCCTCACCACCCACCAGCGAGTGCACACCGGAGAGGGACCCTACCAATGCCCCAGCTACAGGAGAAGCATCAGAGAGCACTCTGGACTGATTGGCCACCGGGCAGAGAAGTCCTACCAGTGTGCTGAGTGCTGGAAAACCTTTGCTCAGACCTCGACCCTGGTTAGACACCAGATCACCCACACGGGACAGAGACCTTACAAATGTCCGGACTGTGGGAAGGGCTTCAGCCGCAGCTTCAACCTCCTCCAGCACCACAGGACCCACGCAGGGGAGAGACTCTACCGCTGCACCAGCTGCGGGAAGAGCTTCGGGATGAGCTCGCACCTCATCAAGCATTGGAGAACCCATACTGGAGGGAGACCCTACCAGTGTGCTGACTGCGGGCAGTGCTTCGTCGAGTGCTCCAACCTCCACAGTCACCAGAGGAGCCACGCCGGGGAGGAGCCCTACAGCTGTGCCGAGGGTGGGAAGGGATTCAGTCGGAATGCCACCCTTCACAGCCACCAGAGCATCCACCGGGGAGAGAAACCTTCCCAGTGCACCCAATGCGGGGAGAGCTTCCGATACCAGCCACAGTTCAGACAGCACCAGAGACTGCAACCGGCTGCTGGGCACAGAGCCTTGCAGGACTGGGGGTGGGGCAGTGCTGGGCAGTGGAGTAAGGGTGTGTGTGAAAAGGAGATGAACTAGTCAGGAATCAATGAGCTGGCAAGAACCAGAACAGGAAGGAATCAGGCAATGGGAGGAGTGATCATCTGGAGGCTGTGGGGAGGGATGAGATTAAATGGAGTCACATGGTGCAGCTGAGATCTGTAGACCCAGATTTCCCAAAATTACCTTGGATTTTGAGTGCCCAGCTCAAGACACCCAGAAGATGATTTTCAGAAGTACCAGACCCTAGCAACTGCAAGGCAATGGGAGCTGCAGGAGTTCAGCACCTCTGAAATTCAGACACTGGGTGTCACAGGTTAGGCATCCAGTATTCGAAGAGAACACTTTTGAAAATGTCTGCTTTGATAAATGTGCTTGCAAGTCTCAGTGGTTAACCTGACATAGAAATGTGTTCCCTACACTTGACCCAGGACTTAACACCAAACTTTCAAAGGAGGACTCTGGTTTGATCAGAAGATCCGGCCTGCTTGAGCTTTGTCTACCCTGTAGAAATTTGGCATCCTTGCCACTCTTTGGATCCCCCAGCGCTCCTGTAGCACACCATGCCTTCACAAACAAAATTACTCCCAACAGTTCACAAGCTCAGTTCACACAGACATTTGGATTGCACTTGACCTGAGCAAGGCTAATGCCATGGCATCTGCCGTTGTCCCATTCTCCATCAATACAGTACAAGTGTAGGCAGCAAGTGTAATAGCCTCCACAATGCACACTGCCCTCTGCTTCTCTCCCACGCTGCACCAGGCATTGGTCAGGCAGCCTGTTCAGCCTAGTCTCTGTACTCTGCTGGCTCAGGTCAAACTCCCCGAAGCCCCTTACCTATCCAAAGAGTCCTGCACACACCCAACATCTCATTGCACAAGGTTTCTCATCCCTATCCCTTCTTTGTGATTGCTGTATTAGCAAGCCAATTTCAGGGCACAGCTCAAGAAGACGCCACTACATGAAAGGACCCTCCAGGGAAACTGTTCAAAGCTTTATATTGAACGCAACCTCCCACTGAAGCCTTTTCCTTAAATGACAAGTTTACACAGCCAGTCCTTGCTTTACAGAAGCTGTATTTAAGTATAGTCTTTCTACACCTCCCTAGAGATACAGCATGGCCCAGTGGTTAAAACACAGACTTGGGAGCCAGGGTCTGCCACTGATTTGCTATGTGGCCTTGGGAAGCTCACTTCAACTCTGGGGCTCAGTTTCCCCATCTGTTAAATGGGGTTAATATTGACCTACCTCTCAATGTGTTGTGCAGATGAATTCATTTTTTGTAAAGCACTTTTGAGCTCCTTAGACGGAAGGTGCTGTGGACAAACAAGGTATTATAATGGACATTCATTTGCATCCTGTGTGGAAGGCACTGCTGATTAGCCCTGCAATCCCCTCAGGGCTGGTAGGCTTTCATTACAAAAATAAAAGTAAAGAACTCTGCTCTATGCCAGAAGTGAGTCTCCAAGGGCAGAGGGGACAGTATGAGTAAAGGCAGGGCAGGGAAGAGTGCAAGTGCAAATGACAAGGAGTGTGTGCATCTGAGGATACGTCAGACCCTTTTGCTCCATTTTTGGCGAGCTACACAGGACTCTCTTTCTCTTGCTTCTCTAGCTAGGATTGGGACCCCAAGGTGAGGCATTTAGGGAAATTCCTTTACAGGTGACCTGCAAAGGAAAATAATTGGGCTTGTGCCTTCTTTTGCCTCTCTGTGGTGGAGGAAGGAGCCCCCCCAAAGAAGCATTTTTACATTAGAGATTCATGTCTTGTCTATCCTGCAAGCCTCTATGGTGGCTGAAGGGCTGGTGCATTAATTATTTATATCCAGTCTAAAGTACCCACTACCCTAGTGATTAGAGCATTGACCTGGGAGATCTGTGTTCAAGTCCCTGCTCCAAATCAGGCCGAGTCAGTCCAGAATCCCAGCTATTCTAGACACACACACCATCTCTCTCTGTCTCTCACGCCTGGCTGACTTTTGTGTGAGGCCCAATGCAGTAGGTGTGCTCTGAGAAAGCCTCCTGGGTCAGCCCCAGGGGTAAGACAGGTAGGGGAATGCCTCATTTGAGAATCCTGAGCTAGGGCTCCAAGCAGCTCATGAGCTATGGAACAGCATCAGGACTTAGGTGGCTTTGCGCATGTCGCTGGCACAAACATAGGTGCCTCAAGGATAGGGTGGTAGCTCAATGGCAGTTCTGAGGCTGCTACTAACGCCTTAATGTTGGACTTAGGTGCCTAAAGAAGCAGCTAGGCACCTACGTACTTTGTGAATCTAGCCCTTACTGTGTTAATGACCAGAACTCAGCAGATCAGGAAGCCTCCAGCCAGACTAAATTTACAGAAGAAAAACTGTAGCCATATTTTATTTTATTGTTCATGGGATTTTTTTTTTTTTTTTTTTATCTTTAGCGAAACCTGCAATTTCAGAGCAGGGGAAGGAGAGTGATGTAGAATACATGATGCACACCGAAAGATTATCCAACTCTCAGGAATGGTTACAGCTGTAACAGTAAGTACTTGGAGTCAGTGGAAACTAACTCCTGATATGAATATACCCATTGTAATGCTGGCCCAGGTAAAGTGAGTGGAGCCAGGAAAGAAAGTGCAGTCTCTTACCAACCCTATGGTGTGGTGTGTCACGTGTTTATTATGACAATATTCTTCTCTTGAGATTATTAGTAAGCTGATGCCAGTACTCATGATGCAATGCTGCTATCTTGTGTTTCCTTGGATGTGCATGTTGTTCTCAGTGTTCTGGTACAGTGCTCTGTGGGCGGAGTCCTGGAAAAAGCCAGTAATTTGAATTGAATTTAGCTCTTCATAAACAGCAGTGGTTTTCTTTTCATTCTCCTCCACTCTCTCATTAACAGCTGCCCTCTCTCATTAAGGAACATAGAGTGTACCCAATATTTTGACCACGTTTCATTTTGTTACTCCCAATAATTGGGACAGTCTTAATCTTGAATTCATCTTAATTGGGATATTTAACAGGGAACCTAATTAAACTGAGTTGGCAGTGACTGCTGCTTATTTGGCTGCCTGCAGGTGATGAAGTGATTCTTCTAGAATATAAGGATATCATGCCCCTCTGATGCTCAGGGGTTGGATTGTGTTTCCCCTCCAAAGACTTCTGCTGTTTGGTTTAACAACACAGACTGCCTTAATAGCCATCCCTGCCCTGGCCTTTTCAAACATTCTGCAAAGTTAGTTCTCTTCAGGCTTCTGATAGAAATGATGTGGCCCTACACTTCTCTAGTTTAGTTGCAATTTAACTCCTTTTAAGCCACTTGTCCTTAGCAGCTCAATGTAACTCCTAATTCTTGAGTAAACCAACAGGTTTGACACAAACTGGACAATCACTGCAAGTACAAAATGGCACTCTCTCTTGATTAGGAAGCTGTACTAAATCAGGATGATAGGCTGTCTGGAGCTTCTGGATTATAAAGATTCTGCTGCACGAGCATTTATTTTACAACTGTTTACAAAGACCAGGCTAAATCACATAGCATCAAAAATGGTGAAAATAAATATATTTAGATGTAAGTAGGGCTAAATTTTCAGTGGTTTTGAGCACCCACACCTGCCAGTGGTTTCATCTGGAACTGGGTGTTTGGCACTTCAAAACATCAAGCCCAGGACCTCAATCCTGCAAACATATATGCATGTTTTCAATTGACTACTGTGGATAGTCCTAGGAGTCGAGTCAAGCACATGCATAAATTTCTGGAGAACCTGGGCATAAGAATGTATTCCTAGAACCTAATTACTCTGGCCTAAATCTTCCTACAAGAGCATAGACCATTTTGTTTATTTAGGGAGGTAGAGTTAAACAATAATAAAATAACAGTCATTGACTGTAGGTTTAATGAGCAGTTTTGTACTGTGGTGGTTTGTCCACTTTTAATTAAGTGAAATAAACAAGCTTCTGTTCCAAACCCAGTGTTTATGAATGCAATCCATAACTTATTTATTTGTTATTGGGGGATTAAAGCCCCCACCACCCTGCATTGTTTACACTCATGTACTAAGACTAAGATTATTAGAGGCTAGAAACACAAGACCATGAAGAGCGTCACAGCAATCTGGACAGCAAAGATCTTTCTCTTTCAAGAAACAGCATTCCTTGTCACTGATTCTTGGAGGTCTGGAGAGAGGCGACAACTTCTAACTGTCCCTCCAAACTGCCTCTTATTTCTCTTGGAAAACTTGGGGGGGAGGGGGGTTAAATTCCCTCTCTGCTCTGAGAAGGATATTGTTTTTTTGAAACGTCAGGATACACACAGAGAATAGCTTCTGATTTGTAATTAAGAAGGATACATTTATTTTCAACAATACTTTGTGATCCTTGCATAGAAGTACAAAGCATTGGTGATAAATGGTTGAGACCTTTGGTGTGATACTCCAAATAAAATAAGCACAAAGCCTGGGATTTTCATTAGACACTAAGGGACTAGGGGCTCAGATCTTTAATTGACACTGTAATTCACTGGCACCTGAACACCTAACTCCCTTAGCCTCTTGAAAATCCAAGGCAAAGAGGTTCTCTGAGTCCCATAGCTTAGAAGTGATTTTCCCTCTTCCTCGTCTCTCCCCCTCCCCCCAAAATGAGACTATATATTGTCCCCTAGCAACAGGCCAAACATGCTCCATTTGAAGTGGAAACAACATTGTTTGAAAATTGGAGGGGAGGTGTGCAAAACTAGGATTCCAACAGGAAACAAGTCTCACCTTCTTTTAGCACACTGGACAGGCTGCTGCATCTCCATACTGATGGCTACCCAGCGCTAGCATCTTTAAATGGTATCCCACCCCTAAGTGAAGAGTCTGCGCAGGGTATGCCGAAAGATCACAGATTTACGGCCCAATCCTACTCTAAGTCCTTGATAAAAATGCTGACTTCAGTGAAAGCAGGATCAGGCCCTTCTGCTGGATTGGATGCAGATAACATGGCAACCTGGGGTTTTGTCCAGAAACACTGAATTTCAAAGAGTCAAATTGATGAAACGTTTAGCTGGATCTCAGAACTACACATCTGATTAGTGCTACCTTTACCCTGCAGTATGTATTCAGTGAGAAAACCACTGAATAATCTACTGCTTGCAGCTAATATGTTATAGTTAGAAAATGCAAATAACTGACACCTGCTACAGGGCAGGGGTGATGAAAACAAGTCTGGCATGTAACTAAAAAGAAAAAAACAGAGTTATGCTAATGACCAAGACTTAATGTTCCCTAACAACATTTCTTGGGAGACATTTTTATGTTTCCAATTTAGAGATGAGCTTGAGCCAAAACCCTGTATCTTAATATCCAAGATCTCAGAATCTAAAATGAGATCAGAATCTGAATTTTGCAAATAACCCTTATCTTTACAATGGGCTGAACCAAAACCTTGGATCATCTGAACATGCCTACACTTTGAAGGCTTTGAAATCTAGGTGTAAATCCCATTTCTACTTTAATTCATAATAGTATAAACCTTTACCCTCTGAAATGAATTGCCTGAGCAATAGTGTAACCTTTTACTACTTCTACTCTTCTAAAATCCTTCATGAGACTTTGTGGTGGTGCGTGGTTTTGCTGGAGAAAAAAGGCTACATTAAATACTTTGCAAATATTTTCAAACGGAGCTAATTTAAATCTGGTAATCACAAAAGATATTCAGTTTAATTAAACTTTTCATCAAACAGTCTAATGGGCAATGAGACTTGGTACTACTTTGAAAACATGAGGATTTTTCTTTTCAAGATAATGGAAGTCGAAGAAACACACAGAAGTCAGAATTTCAAATCACAGTATTTTTAATTACCTATTAGTTGTCTTCAGACTCTGCAGAAACATTCTTTGTTGTCTTCAGAGTCAACATGGCAATTTTCACGCCATGATACTGAGGGGCTAAAGTGATGCTTGGTTGTAACCTTACCTATGAAGAGGTTAATGCAAAGGTTTATGAGAGCCACCAGATGGCGCTTCATCCCAATGCTAGATTACAGAAACATGGGATGTTCAAGGTCACACAGAGAGAAAAGAAATTTCATGATCTCTCCTCCTATACCACATCTGGAAATGCTGTGATGCCACCTTGTGTGAAGCATATAAAACAGAGCCAGGCAAACCTGTTTAAATCAAGGAGATCCTTTGCCTAAATCATGAAAAACCTCAAACATTTTTTCGCCTTTAAAAAATCCAGGCTTTTTTTTTTTTTTTTTGCTACTGCCTTTGTGGGGCTGCAAGTTCCTGCCGCTCTGAGTGGTAAGGGGGCGGCGCACGTGCGGCAGTGGGAGGGTTGGGTAAGGGGTCCTGGGGAGCAGTCAGGGGACAGGAAGCAGGGGGCGGTTGGGCGAAGGTTCTGGGATGGTCAGGGAACAGGGGGGGTTGGATAGGGCGCGGGAGTCCCGGGGGGCCTGTCAGGGGCCAGGGGTGTGGATAGGTCAGGGCAGTCAGGGTACAGGGAGCGGGGAGGTTGGATAGGGGGGTGGGATCCCGGGGGGGGCAGTGGGTCCCAGGAGGGGGCAATGGGGGATGGGAAGTGGGAGGGGGCAAGGGTGGGGGCCAGGCTGTTTCGGGGGCACAGCCTTCCTTACCCGGCCCTCCATACAGTTTCGCACCCCGATGTGGCCCTCGGGCCAAAAAGTTTGCCCTCCCCTGGTATAGCTCATAAAAGTGAATTTGTTCTCATGAGATTTCCAGCCTATGTTTATAGATCCAATAGGAGAGTAAACAGATGGTCCCCAACCACAAAATCTGGATCTGGATACAGCTTTTCTAAGGTTTAGAGCTGGTCTTTTGGTTCCGCTCATGATAGAAAATGGGGACAGAAATGAAGTTTGGATCAAGATTTGACTTTCCCCAAAGTTCAAGAAAGATAAATCTGAGGTTTTGGTTTGGGCCCATCAGCACTTTACAAACATTATCTAAGCTTACAATTTTCCTGTGAGACAGATCAGTATATACTATCCCCATTTTGTCATTGGGAAAACAGAAACAGAGAGATGATGTGACTTGCCCAAGGTCCCACAGCAAATGTATGGCAAAAGCAGGAACTGAACACAGTTCTCTTGACTCCAGATCTAATCTGTGGATAATGCTGACTCTCAGTGGATATGCATCCACACATGTAGCTGCTTGTCAAATCAAGTTCCGAACATTCTATGGTTTCTCAGCATTAATTTAAAACATGCAGGGGAGGGAGGGGAGGAATTAATACATTTGGTTATGAGAAAGAACAAATGAATCCAGACTATTAGGGAGAAGGGAGGGTGCAAAAGGTTCAAACAAGCAAAATAAAAGCATTTGCATTAGGGCTGTCAAGCAATTAAAAAAATTAATCGCAATGTTAAACAATAATAGAATACCATTTATTTAAATACATTTTCAATATATTGATCTCAGTTACAACACGGAATACAAAGTGTATAGTGCTCCCTTTATATTTATTTTTGATTACAAGTATTTGAACTGTAAAAAAAAAGAAATAGTATTTTTCAATTCACCAAATACAAGTACTGT